GTTTGGTGCCAGAGTTCACAATGTAAACAGTTTAAATATATATTATTTCTATTCATTTTAAATATTAGATTGATTTTAATAGTGTTGTCTTTATCTATACACTGTTATCATGCCATGAAACCATGTAAATCATCCTGATACTTTCTGCTATCATTTAAATCTTAGAGACAACATTTCACGGTTTCTCAAAAATGCCATGACCTTTATTTTGCTCATAAAGTGTTTGACAGGATAATAATTGTACAGCTCACATTTGCTGTGTGACATATGTTAGATTTCTAATGGGATGGTTAAAGAATTCACACCGTATATCTTTTGATGTTCCTATAGTTTGGAGGTAGTCAAAAGACGATTCATCAGATTGCTTTTGATATTTCTGCCTAATGAATTCTTCTCTCAAGAAAAGGGACTTTGTAAGATATTTGTTCAGTTAAAAAAGCTCTTGGCCATGAATACAATGTAAATTAGTTGGCTTGAAAGTTGTCCCTCATAATGGAAATAAATTGCCATCTGTATTATTAGTCTATGCTTCTAATATGAAAGAGTTGTTTGCGAACATGAAACTACTTTTAGAAAAGATATAAACATAAAATATTAAAAAAATAAATGGAATATCTGTGGACAACTGACGATCATTGCAGCTCTGCTAAGCCTGCAATTTGGATACAAAGCACTGTACAGGAAAAACAGCATTATATTCAAAAAGAATGGCCAAAATGTAACTCAAATGTCCAGGAAAAAATAATGTGGTAATTAATCCCCTTTGAAAAAGTATTGCTTGATACTTTGCGCATCAAACCTGGACTTCAAAAACTTCATTAACATGATGGATAAAATAGGAACCAGATTTATGTATTTGAGGAATATTTTTTTCAGGATTAGTGATGCTAAGATTAAGGAACTCAGATTCTTCTTTTCTTACCAATTCTTCCTCTTATTCCAAAGAGATATACCAGGGGTGGGATTCTACCAGTTTGGACCAGTTTGGGCAAACTGGTAGCTCCAACAATAAGCTGGGAGTGAACCAGTTCACCCCGGCGATCAGATGATCCCACTCACCCACCCGCCTGCACTATTTTCCTACCTTTATCTCAACTGATTCATGCAGGTGAGCAGATTACATGCAAATCAGCTATGTTACTCCTCCGAAGAAACCCTGAAGTGAAGATTTCTTCAAACTGTGCACACATGTGCAGTGATCACAGAACCAGTTGTTAAACCAGGAGGATCCCACCTCTGGATATACTCCATAATGATGTGTAGTTTATCCCAATTATTTTAGAATTAAAATGAAGAATCTGTAAATCTACTGTTACTGTAAAGTACAGGGTTGCCTTCATTTGGTTTCTCTTTTCAATGGATAGAAAGTATTTGCATTTGACCTTGTTTTTTTCTGAAGACCTGATGTCATATATCTTCTGTATGTTTTTATAACTTCTGATGTTCAAAGAAAAATTCAGAGGAAAATCAGAGGGTGTAATAACCAGAGCTGATGAACCCCCCCTAATGTATATTTAATGGTTTGTATTATTTAGAAGTGGGCTGAATAGCTATATATCCCAACTCTTATCTGCACAACCTGTTCTCTTCCGCATTTGGACATTTTCAGGGAACAGGTGAAATTTAAATAATTTAAAACTAGATTAGAGTTACAGACAAATGCACATACTTGTTTGTTTTGAAAAGTCTTCCTGCCACTTCTTATATCAGCCATTTCAATATTTTTAGAGATATAATGACCATGAAATAATGCTATGTTATTTTTATACCCAAGTTGCTCTATTATGATACTATCATAACTAAAGGTGTTTTTCTGAGGCATTTCTAATGTACCTGCTCAAAAATAAACCAAAAGCAATAGTAAATAGTAAATATAAAATTACTGTATCCCTATCTCAAAAATTGATTGCTTTCATGAAAATATTTAGATTATTTTATGATTCCCATGTGTACTATGGTAATAGATTGTTTACACATGATATTCCTGCTCTGTTAGCCAATCTTGGAACCAAAGAGTTGAATTAAAGTTAAGGTGACCAAGATAACTAAATCCACCCACTTGAAATATGTTGCACATCTATTTCTTGATCACTTTCCCAAGACTTCAACATTTCTGTCTACATGAAATTAGTCTAAAGTACTCATTTGGCACACATTTTATTCATGACATTGATTCGTAACATTAGTTTTGACACTTTGAGGTTATTTTTAGCTCTTAGTAACTAAGACATATTCAAAATAGTTGCAGAACAAATAAAAGGTTCTATGAACTACATGGTTTATCCCTAAATCAAATTATTTCATGCAGACCCCTGCTATTAAGTTTCAAACAAATTCTGTAATAAAAGTTATTCCAGAATTAAATATTAAAGCTGAATATACAAAGAAATGTGCTTTGGGATTTCCTCAATCAGTGTAGTTACCAGAATGTATCAGGAATAAATTATGAACAAGGATGGAGCCAGGTCTACTGATTCCACCTATATGTCATCTCTAAATCTGTTCTACCTTCTCAGTCCCAGAATAACCACATGACCCTGATTTGTGACCTCCTGAAAGCTTCTCCATTAATTCCTCTTGTCAAAAACTGGTTGTGAAGTACAGAAAAGGAGATCTGTATTTGTCATGACAGCAAAACACAGAAAATTCCAGTCAGTTGCAAAGTGCCCAAATTTCCATCATGTGACCATAAAGATGTGACAATAAACTCAAGTGTGAGGACTGGTTGTAAAGTTGCTTTTTCAGCTCTGTTGTAACATTGAATGGTCACTGAACATGATAGTTGTTAAACAAGGAGTTCCTGCATTTGTTCTGGATGACAACTGATCCTATAAAATTATTAACTTGTTTCTTAAAGAGATGCAAGCTACGCTTGGCAGTCAAAGACATACTTTTTAAAAATCATATATCCACCAACAAGTAACTCTAGATGGCTGAATAATTAGGTCATATTTACAACTATGATGCCAGATTTTATCCATTTTGATTTACAAATGTATGCTATACATACATTGCTTAAATGGCACAAAGTATGATATAACATAATTGAAGCCTCAATATAATAATGGGTCCTGTCACATACAGTGAGAAATCACTCCTATCACACCTCTCAATGCACACCATAGACAGATAAGTCCTGGCTTCCTGGGCGGGACTTACTGATGGTAGCAGCTAAACACAGCTGCTCCCGTATTACCAGTGGCNTGACAGTTGGGTGAAATATTATTGGACTATGAAATGGCCAAGGGGAGGGGTTTGAATTATACATGATATCCATTGCTTTCGCGCCAATTTATTCAGACTCAACTTTGCTTTGCTTTGCTATGCTACTCATCGTTTGTAATTAGTAAAAGTACACTTAATTCTAAGAATGGAGTTGAGTGGTTTCTTTCCTGATTATTAAATGAAGCAGCACCTGACAATAAGCTGAGTCTCACCTCGCACCCAACCCGGAGCGAACTCCTTCCGAGGAGGGTGCCCTCTCAGAAGAAAAAAAAAAGATGTCTTTACACGACAGCGACCAGGAAGAAGAAATGGGTGCAATGGCAGCACCATCATTAACAGAAATGCTGGCTGATCTGAGAGCGGAGGAACCTACTGTTCGACCCAGGTGGACTTGGGGAGTGGGACAGAAAGAGGAACCTGATGAGCCCTAACTGGAGTCACGAGGAGGCCCAGGAAACCAGCTGCTGACTGGTGTGGCTCTAAGGATGAAGACTACAAGATGTCCCAAGCCATGAAACTCCTCGAAGAGGCATGGGGCGAACGCTGGGCTCGAGAGAGTGCCGTGGAAAGGGACCCGGCGAAGGAACTAGAGAGAAGGTACCCATTGCTTAGATTAAGGGAGACTGGGGGGGCAAAGGGGGATGTGCACAAGAAAACCCAGCACCGACCTCTCCCCCTGCAGCTAGAGACATTCCGAGAGCAGGGGGGGCAGGCAATGCCGGATGGCTAAGGTCCCACCCTTAAGCCTAAACTATGATGGAGAACCTAGCAGTTTGGGGTTGTTTATAATTCAGGTCTGGAATTATATGCAAATATATGGGCCTGATCTGGATTCTGATGAATCTAAAGTAAGAATAGTGTTAATGGCCCTAGAGAAGAAAGCAGCTTACTGGATGGTCGGATTACATAATAGTGACTCCGCTCTCCTGAGGAATTTTGATGACTTTATGGCAGCAATGAGGAGGCGTTTTGACGACTCTCTCACTGAGCGCCGAGCTAGGCTGAAATTTACGACCCCCAGACAGGGGAAAAAGACTGTGCCTAAATATGTACAGGAATTCCAAGAATTATCGGCTTATATGAGGGGATGGTCTGAAGAACCCTTGTTAGATCGATTCGCAGATGGCTTCAACAGAGATGTTTACCAGCAGTGCGTAAACAGACGAATTCCACGCTGTTTAGAGCCTTGGTACGAACACGCTGCAAATATTGAGCTTGATTTGGCTAGACTCCATTACAAGGAAGAGGGAGAAGTTGAGGATTCCCCTCCCCCCGCTAAATCTCCCCTCTCAAAAGTGCAGAAAGGGGGGAGGTTTCACAGGCAAGCCCAAACCCTCCGCTTGCTTCCGCTGTGGGAAGGAGGGGCACAGTGCTGTGAATTGCCAAGTCAAGCTGACCCACTGTGCTCCGCCCCCCCCCCCGGAGGGAGAAAAAACCTGAGAAGCCTCCCCGCAAGAAAAAGGAACCTGCTCTGAGAGGGGAGGAGCTTTCTCGACACTTCGATTGTAAATCCTCACTCCCTTATGCACCCTCTATGACTCATGTTACTTGTAACCCCTCCCTGACTCACAATGTGCCTCCTTGTGCATCCTCCCCAACATCTGCACCACGACTTGTTCAACCCACAATGATCCTCCTAATACATACTTCCTTATACTCTCCCACTCACTCCTCGATTTGTGTAGAAATTCTTATGCTCCCTCCCTGACTTCCTCCATACCCCTTCACGCCCTCCCCCATCAGCAGTAGTCACTCCCTTACCTAGAGGCCTGGGACTTGCAACTTCCTGCCAGATTCCTCATTAACTTTGGTTGTGGAAAGCCAGCAAGAACTTGCTTTGCCTAACAACAGTGGGATTCAGTTAACGATGACAATTGGGAATACAGGAATTGCCATTCCTAAGGAATACAAGAAGTCAACAACATGTTCTTTTTGTTTTAGAAAATGCATTGTACCCTATATTTTTCAATTTAAATCAGACATGATTATTGCACTATAGCAGCAGGAGGTGCAGTGATACAAACCTGATGTGAGACTGTGAGAATACTGTGAGAGAAGCAGAAAAGTGACATTTAAATTACTTCAGTGAATGGTGGGAAGCACCAGAGTATCTAAAAGAAAGAAGGAAAGTACAAATTTGCAGAGGCTGAAAGCAAGTGGTTCAGACATTGGCATATCATAAAAGCTACATACAGAACCTGAAGGATCAGAAAAAGGAGACAGGAGATGTGAGGTGACATAATTCTCACAAGCAAACAAGAGCTCCTCTTGACACGATGTCAAGAGCTGAAAACATGCATTTCTAAACAAACAAGATGCTACATACATTTGGTGATCATGCCTATGCAATTGTATATGCATGTTTGTTTTTTAATTCCTTGAAACATTCCCTGTGATTTATTACTGTTTATTGATAATGTTTTGAAAATCACTTGCATTACATTTATAATTTGCATAATATTTATTCTACTCTTTCTTAGGTTAGTTTTTCCTAATATTTTAAAGGACAAGCCCTTCTCTCACTACAGTATTGAATAATTCCATAAAATATTGTTCCATATATCAAGATTTAACCAACTAATTGTTAGGAAGCCAATTTAAAGGTATTTATATAACATGATTCTATAGTATACAGTACAGCTTTTTATTTATTTATTTTGTGCCTTCAGGTCAGTGTTGGCTCCTAACAACTGCCTAGATTAGTCCCTGCAATTTCCAGGAATGGTTTGCCATTGCCTGCTTCCTAGGGCTGAGAGAGATTAGTCAAAATTACTTAAACTGGGTAATTTATCCAGCTCAGCTTTGTGCCTAAGGAAGAAGTAGAATTCATGGCTTCTGTTTTGTAGCTTGATGCCTTAACCAGTACACTAAATTGGTTCTCAATACATAGAGAGGTGTGTGTGTGTGTGTGTGTGTGTGTGTGTGTGTGTGTGTGTGAGAGAGAGAGAGAGAGAGAGAGAGAGAGAGAG